AAATTGATAACAGTAATTGATAGCTAAAATTAATTTTTATCAGTAAAGGATTTTGGTAATTTTTAAATAATAAAAAATAAAGTTTGGTAAAAAAACAAAAAAGTAATCTTTAGAATGTTTGACTTTTGTTAAAATATTTCTTCAAATATCAAAGTATCACGCACGTGAAATTTAATTAAAACGTTGATTTTGTGATCATAAATGAGTGCTTTTCATGCATTGCTCCGTTTCCTTGAGCACACATTGGAGGTATACTACTGTTCCATACAAATGGTCGAAAATGATGCGTTTTTCGCCTATCATAGCAACGTTTAAGTCGCGTACAGTTCACGTAGATGATAATTGCTAAGAAAATAACCTAAAATAGCTTAATTTAAATTGAATACCTGAAATGAAGATATTAAATTAAATAAAAATAAAATTTAATTGAAGCAGTTATTATTTAGCAGCAGAATTGTTTAATACTTTTAAACATTTATCTCAATAAATTTGTTCTCAAAAAAATTGAAATTTACTAAAATTTATTATTTGATCAGATTGAATGATATGATTTCTCCAATCACTGATATTAATTTTGATTCTCACAGCTATACATTTTTGAGAAAAATTGGCTTAACTAACCAGTAAAATGATTAAAAAAATTGGTATGATCACAAATGCCACCGTATTTATTTGCTTGTTTTCATCTAATAATACAGCATTTGGCGTGTAATCAAGTTCAAAGTGAATCGCATTTAAGTGATGTGACTGAAACATTACTTCTTTCATTTTTCTCTTTTCTGCTATTTGACCTTTAGAAGACTGACCTCTAATACCCCAGCAAAATTATTAAAATTATTATTGAAGTAAGTCGTAGTGATAAATATCCGATCATAATTACTATTCATTTCGATATCTCGATAAATCTTAATATGAACTGACTTATTTTTACTTAGATTTTTTAAATTAAACTTAAAAACATTTGAATTTAAAAAGCAATAGGTTATTACCTTAAAATTATTGCTACTCTCCATATTATCCAGCATCAATTCTGAAGGTTTAGTCCAGTCTACTTTGAAGGGATTTTTAACTTTAGAACTATTAAATGCGCAAATACGTAAACCGTATTGATTACTAGTAGGATCAATCGTCTGATTTGTATACAGTAAGTAAGGAGCGGTTAGAAATAAACCATTTCGTATGATTTTCTGCAAAAAAAAAATTGAATTGTTCAAATCTGTGAAAATAATTTGAATAAAGTTGAAATTATAAAAAATATATCAAAAATTTGTTGTCTAAGTTATAAAAAATTAGTTTCGAACTAACATCACTGCGTAGAATAACTTTATTGTTGTTTGCTGTATTTTTATCAGAAATAAATTCATTATGTGGAACATTTCCTTCAACAACGTGTTTTATACGTCCAAATTCCATAAATATCCGATCATAATTACTATTCATTTCGATATCTCGATAAATCTTAATATAAACTGACTTATTTTTACAGAAATTTTTAAAATTGAACTTAAAAACATTTGAATTTAAAATGCAAAACCAAGTTTGTTTGCCTCAATAAAAACAATATACTTATTTAGTTTTAGACTTTTTTGAGTAGCAATAAATCAGATCAGCCACTGATTAACTCATATTAATTTAGAGCAGAAAAAGTTACTGTTTTTTAATTGAAAAAAATTGGATTAATAAGAAAGCTATAATGACAAACTTCTTTGCTTCGAATTTGCAATGTATGCGTTTGCGGACTCCAAATAGCTTTAACGTCAGCTTTAGCTAGACAAACGTGACTTGACCCGTGATCAGAACGTTCAACGCATGCACCATTTTCAATTAACACGTGACTACTTCGAAGAAAACAGTTGCATCTTTAAAAAATGCAACTATGATAACTTTACTTTTATGCTTTAATTTTTTACATACTGCCATTTATTTTAAATTAAAATCGTTTTTGCTTAATTTTCAATTTTATAACGAGGCAAAAACTTTTTGTTTTTATCATTTTAATGCAGACAAATACTTGCCTTGTAAATATTTTGTTTTCACAAAACTAACTTTTAAGTAAGTAAAAATCTAGCAGTTAGATTTTACTTTGAATTTACTTCCACTACTATCAAGCTTTAGTTTTAAATTTTCAGATCAAAATTAAAGCAAATTGAAATTTTAGCTGCTTATTTGTGATCTAAAATTGCATTGTTATTGAGTTTTTTGGCTTGATCTGATTTTGATCTCAGCTATCAAAATTCTTCTATCTTTCTGAAATTTTCAGCAATTTTCCTGGAAATTGCAAAAATAACAGTTTGTCAGTATTAATTATTGTAAAAATAAAGTTTCTGATATACTTACTTTGTCTTGTCAAAACAACCAAATTCACAAATCACGCCATTGGCAAGAATACACACTGTTGAATTGGTAATCAATTTCTTATTAGGTTCAGAAGTCACCACTTGAGTTTTTTGAATTGTTGCAATTCTGAATTTTTTTAAAATTCAAAATCTCAAGAAACTTATTTTATAATTTCAATTCCAAATACCAATGAGAATTAAATATTTGAAGAATGTTTTACGGAATGACTGAAAATAAAACAAATATTATATTAAATATCTGAAAAATAAAAAAGGTGAAATATTTTAAATAACAATAAAAAATATTTTAAAGCAAAAAATAATAGTGCACAATTCAAATGTACAATAATTAACAAAATGAAATATTTGAACAATTGTTGGAAACTTGAAAAATGTAAAAAGCGATAATTAAATGTAAATAATTTCATGTATATTTGATGCTTACTTGACATCACTGCTTGGAGTTATACGTGAAGTCAAAACTGACGTAGATTTTACACCATTTGATTTGCTAAAAAATTGCTTACTGATTGATGCTTCAGATGATTCTAATTTGACAGCAAGTTTTGACTTAAGCTCTTTGAGACTGATGAAACTAAATATTGTGAAGATTCAAAAAGCGTAGAGTTTCAGTTCAAAAAGAATGATACTTCCATAAGTATTTTTGCTTCATTTATTTTAACTTTTCAAGTTTGCAGCTTACGTGAGTGCATCAGAATTACTTGTTGCTGTAGTTGTTGTTTGTATAGATGATTCATCAGGATGTTTAGATGATGACTGAAATTTTGTGAATTTAAAAAAAATTAAAGTCAGAGGTCAAAAGTTAAATTTAATTAAAAAAAGAACCGATAGTTTGTTGATCACATCAAAAGTTTGCAGTTTTTCAGGAAATGAATCAATGAAAATATCTGATGGAAAAACATCCAATCCATTGAAAAGACCATCTTCATCTAAATATTTTTACAGTTTTTGCTAAAGTAAAGTTACAAATTTAAATAGGTTTCATTTTATCATAGCTAGTAGCAGTAATTATGTGTTAGATATAGAATATTTAAAATAGTTACTATTACTGTCCTCTTATCAATGATTGATAATAACTTACTGATCAGATTTCAATAAAAATTCAAGCAGAGGGCTTCCAGAAGAATGATAATTGGAATAAAAGTTTTGGGAATGTTTGATAAATTTTTTGAAAACATCTCAAATTTCTAAAAAATTAATCTTTTAAAATATTTTAGAAAATTCAAAAATGTTTTATCCTATTTCTTCAGAAAGATGTAGTGTACAAAAATTTTGCGCCAGTTTTGAAATATTTTCAAAACATTTATAATAATTGAAAATCAATTCATAATTTTTATTTTAATTTGAAAATATTTCACTCTCAGTAAGCTGAAGCAAAAAATGACCTCGAATACTTCAGACTGTGAGTAGTTATTAAAATTAAGGTAAACTAATATCCTCATCACAAGGGATTAACCTTCAAAATCAGTAATGTTCGGTAATAATGCGTTATTTGCGCAACCGTTTCCGCCTTTGGGATGACAACGTCGTTTGAATAGCAATGGTCCTTCGATTTTCAAGCATTCATCACAACGACCAAATGATTCAACTGCTAAACTTCTTTACTTGAATTAAAATTTTTAGATATTTAATTTGTTTGTAATCTTCAAATATTTAATTTTAAATAATTGTTAAACACGTAATTTCTACTGAATTTTAAGTAAGATTTACGTTTCTACAATGTTTATTTACTTTTATGCAAAATGTGTAAAAAATTTTCAAAGTCACTTGTAAAATGTACAAATACTTTTCAAGAATAAATCATTTTGATTAACTTTTTTTTTATAAAAAATAAAAAGTACTTAAAAAATTTTTCACGTACGTGAATGACTTCAGTCTTTTTCGAATATATATAAAACGTTATCATTAAAATTTTGAAAGTTTTAGAAAAGACTTATTAAAACCAAAGTGAGCCAAATTAATCGAAAAATTTCATTAAAAAAAAATAACATAAGCAAAACATTGAAACTTTGTACCAAACTACTGTAAGTGCTACTAGAAGTATAATTTTTATCAAACAGTTTAAAACCAAAAATAAAATTATCAATTGCTTTAAACATAAGAAATTTTGAGACCAAAAACTCACGCAAAGTTTTGCAAGACGTACAAACAAAAGGTGTTACACGTATAAGTCCAAATTTTGGTTTCATTTTATGTTCACTGTAAATGCCACAAATCTGTATTCCGTAATCAACGTCTGGTTCCACGTGAAGTTCTAATTTGGTTTTATTGCCTGGTATTTTCATATCACGGGCTAAAGCAATTTTCCACGTAGCAAACGGTGGAACTCCCTAAGATTGCGAATTATAATATTTATAGTTCTTTTGCAGATTACAACAATTGACAATTTGTTCAAAATTTTCTTTTTGATTTCTCAAGTGTGAATTGTATAATTTCTTCATTGTGGTCATTCTTTCTATTATATTGCATGACCTCAATTTTATAATATAAAATAAAATTATTCATTTCAAATATTGAAAAAGTGCGCGAATTTCAATTTGAGTAAAAAATTAATTGCTACTTATATTACTGAAAATTGCTTGAGTCATTTCTAAAAATTAATATAAATTTAAAAAAAAGTAATATTCTGCATATTTATATCATTCCAATAATATATTTCATTTAAAACTGTTTAAAATTCAAAATATTTATTATCACTTTTCATAATTTACCCGCATTTCTGCTTGACCATAACGAATATGATAATAAAGTGGTGAACCAAAATTGCCATCTGCTGACCACATTATTGTTGCATTATCGCCATGACCCCAAATGTCAACAATATCAGTACACTGTGGTGCTATTTCTGTAAAAAAAACTATTTGAGATCACATTTTTGGTCAATAATTATAATCACACTTAATCAATTAGGTACAGTTTTAATTAGATTATCAGTTTTGTTATACTTTCCATCTACTTCAAATACGAAACTATCAATTAAAATATTCAGTTATAATTATCACCATTTTTAAATATTGATTTATAAGTAAAATCATACGAAATATTGTAATATTACAATCATATACTGCAATATAAATTAATTCGCTACAAGCTTGTAAATATGTTCAGAATTGTAGTTGTGAGCATAAGTAAATAAAAATAAAGAAATGAAGATCAACTATTAATTTATACAAATACAAATATATTATCTATTTATCCATTTAATTGTTTTTATTTATTTGACTGCAGTTATAATTTACTGATAATTTTGATCTAAATTTTAAGTGGCATTGATGTACCTTGTCTACAAACGTGAAGAGTGGGTAGTTTTGCACAGTCAAGTTCAATAGATTGTTGAATACTAAAAGGTTCCAATCGAATGCACCGCGGTAGCATTTGTACCTCAGCCCATACTCGGCACTTACTATCTAACACATCGGATGGCAATGAAATTCGTAATCGACCGCCATTTTCATTTAATTCCTTAATTATATATTTATGAATTTATTGCTGCTAATCATAATATGTCAGTGACAAATGTAATTTAGATTTAATTTGTTTTACTCAGTTTTATATTTTTGTTTATACAAAGTTTTAATAATCAATAATTATGCTAAGTAGTAAGTAATTAGTATCCAACAAGTGATAAGTAAATAAAGTAAAAGTTTTTTTTTCAGTTTAAGTAATTTGTATTCAAATTTCGTTCTTCGTTAATTATGATAATTGCAATAACAAAACTGATTAATACTCTTCTATTTTATCAGTTTTTATCAGCACCTAAAATAAATAAAAAATAAAACCATAACTGACCACAGATGGCAATGGTAATTCTTCTTCAGGTGAATTACATTGAAGAGGATAAATTGCCGGACTTTCATATCCGTAAATATCTGCATTCGTATATCCTGTTGGATTTTCCCATGATACATATACTATTATTGTTCCGTATTCAGAATCATAAAATGGTAGTGATGTTTGAATCTGAAAAAATAATTAAAAAATAGTTTAAAAAAAATACGAAATAGCACTATTGTTTGACTTATTTGTATCACTATATTCATAATTTTTCCAAATTTTTAATTGTTTGTAGATATATTTACTCCACATACAAAAATTAATATATTCAATAAATAAAAAGCATTTCAAATCAGTACAATTTCAAATTATAATTATTAACGGTATGCAAAGTTGTCGATTATGCCATACTCATAATAATCACTATACGTTTATAATTTTTTTAAAATACAAATAAATAACACGAATGAAAATGAAGTAAAAATCACTTTGCTAGGTGCTATGGCAAATACCGGTAAATTTACAGGTATAGCCCGCGGTCGGTAAACAATCAGCCAAGGATTATTTATTTCATTACTTTTCAAAATTGCAATCACTCGAAATTGATAATCTCGACATGGGTCTGGTATTGTAAATATTACTTCTGATGTCGTATTCGTGCCCTACAATATAGTAATCATATTTTTTGCAATCAAAAAAGGTTATAATCTATAATTATTCAATTATTATTATTGATTATGCTACTGCGCATATTTCCTTTCCAGTCACTGAAGTAAATTATAAACAAATTACTTTATAAGGTATTAAATAATAATTTAACAGTTATGAAGTAAACAAGAATATCTATTTTCTATAGAAGCAACCAAAATTTGAGTAAAACTATTTTTGTTGATTAAATACAAAAAATAATAGATTTTTATTTTTTGATTATATTTAAAAAAATGTCAGTTTGTTCAAGCTTCTTGCATTAAAAAATGCTTAATTAATATTTTTTGTCATAAAAATTGCCTATTTTTAAATTTTAGATAATCTAAATAAATACTACTTCAGTTTTCGGTCACATTAAGTATTAAAAAAAATTCTCATTACTAATTAATAATTAGATTTAATTAATTTAATAATGATTAACAAAAACGCACAGCAAATATCCAATCATCTGGTGCAGTACTAACTGTAGAATATTCGAAGATATACGCAACTGTATCAAAGCTCTCTTGTTCTGTATTCATTTGTATTTGAATCCGTCGAGAGTCCAAGTATTTAGTTTGTACAGGAAGCACATTATTTGTTATGCTGTCTAAAATTTTTTGCTAATAAATTTTAAACCAAATTTTTATTGAAATTAGTTACTGTAAAAAATTTTTGGCCATTTTAAATTTTTATTAGTTTTATTCTAAAAGATTATTTGAATAAAGTTAGCTTTAAGTTAAATTTTTTGCGATTTTCTTTTTTTTAGAATACAATTTTAAATGTTTCATTTATTAGTATTTATTTTTATATACAACCAACTGGCTTGCACATTGTAATACTTTTTAGCTGAATTAATCCAAATTTCGATTCAATTTTGTCAATAAATCTGTTTAGTTCGAAAAAATAAAAAGTAAATATAATCATAAATGACAAAATTTTAATTAATAAGCTTATTTTATTAATTAATAATAAGTGAAAATTTGTATAGTTCATCACAAAATTACTTTTTGTAAAATTGATAGTTATTTAGCACATAAAGTAAGTCAAAAATTGTATCTAGAAATTAAAATTTACTTTGAATAATACTTTCATCCAATTCCATCGCACACAATTTTGCACTGTCATTAATACATTTGCATTTTGCTACATTAATCTGCAAGTTCTGTAACTTTAAGTCATTATCACTTTGTTTTAATTAATGAACAAAATTAAATTTACATTATTTTAATATTAATATTTCAGTCTATCCGAAAAATATTAAAACTTTTTTTGGAAAAAAAAATGCAGTATAAATATGATCTTTTCTCGCTTAATGGATGAATGCTTAAT